CAAACTTGCTTTTTTGAATCAATAATACATTCTAGACATCTACCCAGGCTATGTCAATATATACAAACATACCTCTCTTTTAAAACTATGTAACATTCCATAGCATAGAGGTATCAAAATTTATTTCTGGTTATCTTCAGCTTTTCCTCTTAAGTGATGCTGCAAAAGACTTTGTTCATACTAACTTGTGTCCTTTTGAGAATATCACAGACTCCTTGAAGCGCACCTGCTAGATTAAAGCCTATGTTTTTTAAATTTTTGATAGATTCTGCCAAACTGTCATCTGAAAAGGCTGAAACAATTTTATGTTCCCAAAAATGTATTAGATGCATTTTTTTCTGTATCTTTGGATAACATTTTAACTTTTGGCTGATAGATCCCCCTCCCCACCAAAAACTCTAGTTGTTTTAATTTCCATTTCCCTAATCACAAGTGAGGTTGAATTCCTCTTCACTGCTTTGATGTTCTCTTTCTGAGAACTATTGATAGCCTCTATATATTTCTTAAATGGGTCAACTCTATTATCCTTTACCAATTGATACATGTTACAGAAACTTTTTTTCCAGTCTGTCACTTTGCAATGTCTTTTATCACACAAAAATACCAACTTTGACAATGGTCAAATTTATCAATCTTTTCTTTATGACTTTGGGTCTTGGTCTTACCTAAATGGTCTACCCAAAAAATATAATCTCCAATATGACATATCCTCCAACATAACAAATTCTTTTGTATATTCTTCTAATATTTGTACAGGTTGTTTTTGTCTCTGAGTTATTTCTTTAATCCAAATAAAAGTCATTTTGAATATGGGGAAGTAGAATCTTTCTTCCCCATCATCTACCTCTATACAATATACTGGATAATCATTTTCTGTTTTGAAATTCCAATATTATAAACCAAATTTCTCTATATAAATGGGTCTGTTACTGGATTCTGCATTGCTCCATGTACCAATGGGTCTGTTCTTGTGCATTGTTTATATTACTGTAGCTTTACAGTATGTTTTGATACTTAGTATAGCAAATCCTCCATTACTATTCTTCCATTTGAAAAATTTCTTGGCCATTCTAGTGCATTTACACCTACGGATGAATTCTAGAAGGAATTTACCAAGTGTTCAAAAATAATTCTCACTGGGGTATCAATTAGAATTACATTGAAATTAATTGTAAAATACTGCAATCTTAACAATGATGCCTCCCCCTCTAGAAACATGTAATGTTTGCCCATTTATTTAAGTTGTTTTTTAAATTCTTTAGGTAAAGGTTTTTCCTTTCTTCATGAAGTTTTTTCACTTATGTCTTATTCTTAAATGTCTTCCAGCTTTGTTGCTATTGAGAATAGAACTTTACTTTTCTGTAGGAATAGTTACAAATTATTTGATTAGTGTTGAAATTACGCACCTTCCCAAATGTTTAACAAATTATTTTTCTACCCAGTAAACTATCCACCTACTGTAACCACTTGTGTGTGAATTTTCATTATTTTCCTCACCAACCTGTAGGAGTTCTTTACATATTGAAGATATTAATTCTTCACTTATATTTCTCACAAGTATTTTCCTACTTTGTGGTTTGGCTTTTCATCTTAGGATTTTGTTTTCCCTTTCTTCTTAAAGAAGTTTCAAATGTCTATATAGTCTAATATACTGATTTTAATTAATAACAGATTTGCATGCCCCATAGTTGCCAGGACCTGTATCTTTTTCCCTCACAACACCTGCACAGGAGGTACTATTTTCCTCACTTAAAATATTCTAGTTTAGGCAAGTTTGATTGCAAAACCTGTGCTTGGTCCACTTCAGCATGCAGAACTCCCTTTTCCAGATGTTTAATATTTATGGCCATAGGGGGCATTCATGATGATTCATCATTTATCACATTGTTGTACATAGTTTATTCTGGGGTGCTGGATAGGTTCCAGTGACTTGCAGAGATACTCTAAAACCAATATAATACTACTATAATGAATGTGGTTCTATGTTTAAATATCAGATAGGCTTTTAACCACCTTATTACTCTAATTTACTCTGTCCAGTTCACTGAAAAATGGTCATTTCATGTTTAAATGTCACATCCAGTAATGTAACCTGTTTTTCCATTTAGGGCATACTTTTAGGTCTTTCAGGATGTTTTATGGTCTCCTCCATGTAGATCAGACTTATCCTGATGAGGATGTGCTTACATATTTTACATTTTTTGTTGCATTGTGATTAGAGCCTGTTTTTTGGTTGTTTTTTTTCCTTTTCCATTTTAGTTTATAACAGGTTATTTTTGGTATTCAGAAAGCTAAGAATTTTATATACACCTTCTGTACCCAATTTCCTCAAAATTCCTCCAATTTTCTGTCTATACTTTTTGTTAGTCTCATTTTTTTGTAACCAAAGCAACTATAAGTATTTATTTCTCTTCTTTTCATTTTAGATCCTCACCTCACTCTTATTCTATGTATTACTGCTTTTGGAAAACTTATAAAAACCATTAAACAATATTCCAATTTTTAATTTGACCCTGATACTTTCATGTTAAACATTAAACATCGTGTTTAATAATTAATATTATACTTTTTGGGTAAAAAAGTGCCCTTTTATCCCTACTTCTTAAAAATAAGAAATGATGATTTTTTAAATCAAATACCTATTTTGACCTTAGTGTAGCTGGTAGTTTGAATTCAATGTGAACTCCAAGGGAAAGAACATCTCTCTTCCAGATAGAACTCTAAAATGGCCAGTCCAGTCTATCCCACTTCCACCCCTACCATACCCCCACAGTCTGCATATAGCAGCTGGAGTGGTTGTTTAAAAATGCAAATCCATTATGTCATTCCCCCTGACTAAAATCCAACCCTTGTAATGGTTTCCCATTTCACACAGGATAAAATAAAACATCCTTTACCAGCCCTACAAGACCCTACATGATCTGGCCCCCTGCCTAGCCACACTTCCCTCTCACCCACCATAATCTATCCATAAGTCATTCTTTCAGTTCCCAGACTGGGCAAAGCTTTTTTCTCCCATCAGGGCCTTCCCACATGCCATTCCCCTGCCTGGAAAATTATCCCCCCACTTCACCATACAGTAACGCCTACTCATCCTTCAGATCTCAGTTCAAATCTTTTTATGCAAAAAAGTTTTTCCTGGACCTTCTCTACACAGTCTAAAATTTTTATACTCTCTCATAGCTACTTAACTTTTATAGAAGATGCCACAGTTTGTGATTGTATGTGTAGCTGTATGACTGTGTTTCATTTCTGATACCCTCCACTCCCATATAGTATGAATTCCAAGAGGACAGGGACAAGTTGATTTTGCTGGCCCTACTACAGGCATTCATAAATAATTGAATGAAAAATACCTACAAAGCCCTACTGTACCTCTTACCTCTTAAAATGATACCCATCACATCAATTAATATTTGAACTGTTAAAACTCTAATACTGCCTATAAATGTAAGAATCCATTTTATCAGGACATGAAAGCTAACCTGAATCTGCTGCTGCCACAGAAAAATACACATAGGAATTTCACTAGAAGTTTTGTTTAAATATGTGTTTTGCTTTATGTAGTGTTCAATTTGCTGATGCTTCACTTACAGTCAATTTATAAGCTTTATTTTTTAAGGCATGTAGCACTGGAAAAAATGTGCTTTGTAAATACTCTTTAAAAAGCTAATGTGTTATCAGTACCTAAGAAAAATTATAGCAAAACCATGTTGAAAAGCACACAGAATTTGCTATCTCTAGTATTCTGTAATACACATAACTAGCCAAAAAAGAAACTTTAATTATATTGCAAATAAAGTATTCTTTTGGTTCACAAAGGCAAATAAAAATCAACATTTATATACCATTTTACAAAGCACTTTCACATACATCATATTATTGAACTCTATGGAGTAGACAAAGCAGGTATTACCACCATTAATAAAAAAGAAAACTGAGGCTTAGAGTGATTAAGCGTCCTCCCTGAAGTCACAGGACTTGAAAATAGTAGAGTCATAATTACAATGGGGTTGGGAAGGGTGGCCTCCCATACATAAATTTCTAAACCAAAGAGAACTTCCATCATAAACCCCTACTCTCTATAATTAGTGTATATTTGTGCTCCCTTCACTACAGTTTCATTTCACCAGAGAACAGTAACCAAAAAAGCTCTTTTGAATATAAAGTTAAAACTTGAATTGCCATCAATCCAGCAAATGGCTAAACTATGGCATACCCAAACTATGGAACATGATGCAGCAGTTCTTCAAAATATGCTAACACAGTATACACTCAAACTGAAAGAGTACACTAATTCTTGTTAAATATGAGTACACCCATGTAAAAACATTTTACTATACTAGAAAGTTGCACCTAAACATAGAACAGTTGTTGCCCCCAGAGAGGGGTTGGTAGTCAAAGACTTCAGCTATCTCTATGCTGTATCAATTTTTATGAAGAAAACAGACTGCTAACTTAAAACTGATTTTTTAAAATTTAAATTAACCTGTGGGCTGAGCAAGGTCATTTTTCTGTGCTAAAAAGCTATGCATCTATAAAGTAAGTTGGGGCCCCCTCTAAAAGAGAAGACAAAATATACAAAAAGTTCATCCTGTTAAAATAAACTGTAAATATCACAAAACATCTCTCTTAAAAAAAAATGGCCTAGATTAAAAAAAAAATATCTAGTCTCCTTTGTTGCAATTAAGACAACCAATAAACAAACTATCAACTAGAAGAGTACAGAGCAGGCTTCTCCTAGAGAGCTAGAGAGATTTAGTTGTTAGACTTCGGCAAGGAAGGTTTCACAAAGGATTTGAATTTTGAGAGAAATGAGAAGTGACTTGGCAGAGATGCGGAAAGATTAATCCGGATGGGAAAATGTCTGGGAGGTGGATCTACTAAGTTAATCAGAAGCAGGGACAGTAAGAACACTGAAGTAAAGTCCTGAAATAGGGCAGGATTCCTTTGGATGTGGGAATTGGGAGGAAGCTCGACGGCGCGGCCATCCAGTTTACCTGGGTGAGAATCCGGCCCTTGTTATGGTCAAACAATGGAGGCGTCCAGAGGCAGCAGCGGTCTGCGCTGGGTGCGCGACGGGTTCCTCATCACCTGAGTAGGATGCTCGTCCGGATCTGCTGGGATGCAGGGCGCTCTAAAAAACAGAACATCACCCCATGCAGCCAGGCTTCGCCGCCGCGCAACCCAGCCCGCGGCTCCCACGGCGCGGCCATTACCTCCTCTCTGGGGACCCGCCTGGAAGGGCTCCAAGGCGCGGCTGCATGGTTTTCTAAGCTGTTTTGCTCCCCCTTCCCTCGGCTCCCACAACAATGGAGCCCGGCTCAGAAGTCCAGCTCCCGCGGGGCCTCCGCCCGGCCTCGCCTCACCGCTGCCCATCCTTCGCCGCGCGCCCGGCCGCCATCTGTGACCCCCGCTCCCCGGCACTGCGGGCCCACGCCGGCTCCCAGGCCCCACACCCGCTGCCTCGGCGGGGCTTGCCCGGGGGCCGCCAGGCCACCCTGCAGCGGGAGCTGCTCTGACCTCTTCCCCCGACTCCCTGGGCCGACCCCGGCTCGAGGCCCATCGTAAGTGAGGGCTTGTTTTTCTTTTCTCTAACCCACTCATCCTCCTTCTGAACCCGAGCTCGCTCTCCTTCCCCCCCCGCCCCCGCTGGGATCCAGAAAAGAAATAAAGAGGCAGAAGTCTGGCCGCCGGAGAACTCACTCCAAGTGAGGGCTTGAGGTGCCCCAGGCCGCGGGCTCCGCGCACCCACCCTCCCTCTCCTCAAGGGACACCTCACAGGTGCGCCTCCGAGCCGCGCGCGCGCGCTCCGCACGCCTAGACGCCTCCGGGGGCAGCGCGCGTGCGCACGCACGAGGCTGACCAGCCCCGCGGGAGCTGGTGCCGCACGCATGCGCGCCGCCAAGCCCTCGCCCCTTCCCCCGCCTCTGCTCCCGCCCCTGTCGGCCGCCCGCGCGCGCTCTCCCCCCAGTCTCAGCCTCGGCCCTGGCAACCCACCACCGCCGCCCAGCGCGCGCGCTCCCGCTCGCCTGCCTCGCTCCTCCTTTCTCCTTCCCTCTCGGACTCGCGTTACCCTGGCAACCGCAGTGCTGCCGCACCTGAACTGTGCGCCTGCGTCCCACCGGTCAGACCCTCCCTCCACCTCCGTGCGTTCCCCTGTCCCGCTACTACTGGGGGTGGGGGGCGTCGCCCTCTCCCCGCGAAGTATCAGCAGGCCGCCTCCGCCCCACCCCGCAGATACTGACCCACCGCCGCGCCGGGGCCTTGGCCGCCCGCCTCCGGGTCAGTGCGGCCAGGCCTCACCGCCCCGCTCCCAGCGTGCACCGCGGCGAGCACTCTGGTGGGAGTCGGCGAGATGCTCTCGGCTGGCGGCGCTCACTGACCTCCCTCGGCCGCCCGGCCGGGCAGGGCCGGAGCCAGGAGCCAGCCCCGCCCGCCGCCCCGCCCGTGGGCCGCGGCCTCCGCTGCCGCCCTCCGGGAGGATCGCGCCGCGGCGGAGAGCCGCCTGAAGGACCGCGACGGCCGCGCCCGCAGGTGAGGCGGGGCCCGAAGTGTGACCGAGTCCAGCCTCGCTCATCTGGCGGTACCTGCGGGAAGCTTTGCGGCCGCCAGCCAGGAACAGGGGCACCTGGCGGGGCAGAAATTCATGTAGAAAATAAGAAAAATTCTTATTTTCAAAGCCCTCACTGCACGGGGAGGACGGCCTTCTGTCCCCCTACCCCCAAACCAGGGCTCGAAGGTGCGAAAGGGTGTCCCCTTGAGTTGACAGGTGGTGGGGGACGCGAAGAGGTGGGAAGGAGGGCAAAATGTACAGCGACCCCCGCGCCTGCTGCCTGCAGGGTCTTCCAGTCCCGTATGGGGAGGGGGAGGCTCTTGCCAGGGCTCTGGTCCAGGCTGCGGACCGACCGCACCACGCACCCAAACCTATCCGATGGGGCAGGAGAAGCCATCAAGGGGCTGCTCCTGGCCGCCCTGGGGTGGGATCGTAGGGTGAGGGATCCGCATTGCAGGTGCACCAGGAGTGCCCAAGGGCCTGGCCCTGCTTTGTCTGGGATGCTGCGGGGAGGAGGCCTTCTGAATCCACATCGCCTTTTTAAACGCGTTTTTCCGCCTTGTGGCCGTTAGAGACCGTCCCAGATAAAATGGATAGTCTCCTGCCCTGATAATCCCCGTAGGTAAGTACTCTGCCTTTACAGCCCCTTTCTAAAGCCTTGTTGTGGGCTTTAGTTTACCCTAAATAATGATTTATTTGTGATTCATGAAATTGAGCGTAATGCACATATGCAGCAGAGCTCCAGGCTCGTCGACGGGGCTGCTGTGTGCTACGGTGAGTTACTCTAGTTTATCTAACTTAGGTTTTCATGCTGACCTGTGTTGTTTAATTTCAAGCTTTGATATTTAGCAGTGTGATCTGCTCCAGTAATGGAAATGAGGTGGCCAAAGAGGAAATAAATCGTCCTCTGTAATTTAGGTTGCAGTAATTGGTCTTATAACAAAATACAAGCTGTAGTATTTTAATACATTACATATTTCCAGAAATATACCTGTAAGAGTGTTAAAGCTAGGATTGCATGGGTTTGTTTTTTAATACTTTCAAGTCTGAAATTTATTTAAGGAGCTTGATATTGTTTCATTAAATAATTTTTTTGCACCATCAAGAATTCACCTGAATTTCCTTGCCTTTGAACTGTAAGGAAAAGGATGCTAACATTTAAAGTGATTTTTATCTCCAAAGATGGTTTGAATTTGTGTATTTCTTTTGGCTGAATGTTCATTTTATGTAAAATATTTGGAAGGTTTTAGGGTTTGTGATATATGTATATTTATGTGTGTTTACACATACTACTGGATACTGAAATAAAATAGTTTCTATTATTTCTCTGCATCATGTCATAATTACTCAGTAAATTTAGGTTAGGTATATTTAAATCTAAAGTACAGAACAATTATTTGTGTGTAGCAGATTTTTACTGTAGTACATGTAAATATAGCAACCTAACAAGTTTCTTTGAAATTATCTTTTTTTTAAAAAATGAATCCTTTTACATAAAATAGAACATTCATTTGGATTCTTAAGTCTTTCATCTGTCATTCATTGGATAAATTCATTTTAACATCATTATTTAATTGGTAGAGTGCATTTATTTGCAACAGTGCCCATGTTAATAACTGTTGATGCTTTTAAGAAATACTTATTTTATATTATAAAGCATTTTCTCCTGTTTCTGGCAAGAAAAGACATGGGTCTTTTTTCTTCCGTCTGGAACAAGATAAGCCATAAAAAATTGCTAATACATAGTGGGCACACATTTATTAAGAAAGATTAATTATATCTATTGAATTGGATATCTTTAAAGGTCACTGGCTATATGTCTTATATTACTTCACACAGCAAGGATACAATAAATGCTTGACTTGGATTGAAACTGTAGACTATTTAGGTAGATGCTAGCTTAATGACACCAATTTTCACAGCTTTAATGTTGAAGCCTACAGAAAGGTTTGCGCAGAGAAGTGAAGGTGTCCTGATTATCTTCAAATAATTAAGGTCTGTGATGCAGCAAAGGGAATTTATGTATTTAGGGTAATTCCTGAGTACAGAAGAGGCCAAGTAGTACTTGTAGGAAGAGAGATTTCACTTTGACATAAAAACAGAAGTCGGTTATGATTAGAACTGCTAGCGTGGGAAGGGGGAGGCTGCTCTTTCCCTGCTGAGTTTCCAGATAACCTGGTTCCCCAGTGGGCAGGAGTGGCTACTAAGACGTTATCACACAAGGTATGGAGAAAGCCTTCTGAGGGAGGCACCTTGGGGTTCCAGTGGTAACTGTATTGAAGGGCATTGTGGTTCTTTTTATTTCTTATGCTGGTTCTACAGTGATGGGCATAACACATCTCCAGACACCTACCTGAACCCTCAAGATTTTTTCTGGGTTAGAAGCCAGCCTGGTAGCAGAGCAGATTCTAGTCCTACTTTGCATTTGTATGGGGGCTTTTCAGGTAAAAAAGCATTCTAATGTTCCATGTTTTGTTTTAAAAAGACTTTTTAATTATATGTAATCTATATCTCACCCTTTGGCTTTCATTTTCTATAATAAACATTTAATCAAGAGGAAAATCACCCTTTTCTCTGAAGTCAAGCAGAGGAGTCTTTAAAAAAAATTTCTAAAATGGAATGATGTCAGTAATTCTCTTGAGAGTCAGCAGGTTGTGAAGGTGAATAGATTTTTTCTTAGCTGAAATTATTTTTTAAAGGGTACTGATTCTTTACTGAAAAATATTTTTAAGGTCTGATTCTTGTGCTTGCTCTGCATTTTAGTTTCTGTTTATTTTATTACTGAAACATGACTCAAATTTCACAGCAGAAAAATCCAGTCATATTCACCTATAGTAAGTTGCATTGGACTTTTTTTTTTTAGTATGTCTGCATTGTTTTTAAATATATGTTGACACCTGAAAGTAGAATTCAGCTGCAGGGAAGTAGAATTACAGTGTACTGAAAGATTAGGTGAACTGGAGCTTTGTGTTTGAAGAAGAAAATGATGTGTCCTGTTTGTGCTAAGCCAATCCTAGGAACAATAATTTACCAACAATAGGAATGATGAGCTATCCAATGTAACAGAGTTTAGGCTATTGACCATCATGATACATGTATTAAGTGGGCCAGTGGAGTTCAGACTCTACAGCCAAAGAACAGAGCTTCCTGTCTTTGTGCGTCACCAGTGCGTTCAGTGCATGGTCTCTGCACAAGGGTGTAAGTGGAGCATGATGGTAACAAGGCCAGTTGAGTTAAACCAGCATCTGACCTCTCCAATTTAGGAAGAAGTAGAGGAAAAACAATTCTGAATTAATGTATACATGCGTTTAAATTTTTTAAAGCCCTTTTAAAAATAGTTCCTCCGTTGTGTTCTTTAGCAAATCAGTTTGTCTCATACATTTGTACATTTTATCCACCAGCTGAATTTGGGTGTGATTATTTCAATAAAAGACTCTCAAACTTTGCTTGAACAAGGAATACATAATATATGTAGTATGCTTTATGCATGAAGGGAAAAGAGAAGAATATCAGCTTCTTCTGGCCAACCAAAAAAAAATTGAAACAAAACCTTACAACTATTTATTCCTACAAAAAAAGTCATCAATGCTACTTTAAAGATTATGACCAGGACAACATATTATTAGCCAAGGCAACCAGTTAGAAAGCAGCCTTTTCAGAGGTTAAAGGTTAGAGTTCCTCCCACAGCCTTTGAGGGCATCACACAACTATCTTAAAAGACTTTTTGTTGATCAAGAAACAGGAGTTTATATTTTTTATACAAGCCTCAACACTGGAGAACAGACTATGATTGATGTTTTTGTGATTATTCCCATTTACCACTTTAGCAGAAATAACTTTATGAAGCAAGAATTACTTGCTGTTTGTAGCTATAAGGGAAGAAGGAGTAAGTTTTCTCCTTTTATTGAAACTCTTTCTATGAGCCAAATTCTCAAGACAGCAAAGTGAAATTCCATTGGTTTGCACTAAAGAGCAAGCCTGAGATGCTTAAAACTTACAGTGAGGGAGAGAAAAAAGAACACTTTTAATAAATGGGATTTGAGGCATATGATACTCTGCTACAGTTTTTCTCTTTGTTGCCTCTTTAGCAACACTAAAGATACTAAATTTAGATCTGCATATGAAAGACTCACTATCTCTTGCTCTTCAGATTTCCTTCTCAACTTATTTCTAAATGCACCTTGTGCCCTTTTTATTTACTATACAGATAAGAGGGTTTATGAGGCCTCCTTTTAAGTCCACTATCTTATGCAATACTGCTTAGGCATTGCCATTACCTATAAATTATAATTCCCAGTGTTATTCT